TATGTTGAGTGTCTGTATGGGGCCTTAGGCCTGGATTGCTTGGGTGTATTTACTGTATGAGAACACTGTATTTTATATGTATTTCTATCTTTTATATCATATCTATTATAGTTTTTAAGTATTTATCTTTCGTGATGTTGCACTGACCGGAGACATCTTTCAATTTCATTGTACTTGTGACAATGACAATAAAGAATATTCTATTCTATCAATATCTTTTTTGTGAGCCTAATCAATCGCAAACACAAAGAGTCCCTTCATGTGAGCGCAGTCAGCCGATTAGCTTGGCACAGAAGAACAACAGTGACATGAGCCAAATAAAGCATGACTCTCCTCTGAGAAACAAACTGTAGACGGAGTCGGAGAAAGCTCAGCATGTGGGGGAATTACATTCATCATATCTGGGTTGACTCAGTAACCAAATTGTCCAGTCACACAGTAAGAAATCACTGATTATGTTTGTCCTTTAGAAATATTTTAACATTTTTTACATGCTTTGTTTTACAGTTGAGGGGAAAAGCTTAAACAAGCAGAGGATGCAGTGATGCAACGTTTTTTTTTTTAAAGTTTAAATGTTTAAAATATCAAAAGGCAAAAAAAAGATTGAATTTTCAAATAAATCTTATATTTACAGTACCTCTGTGGCCTGTGTCTAATTGATACCATTTCTTTGTCTATAATGAAGAAAAACTAAACAGTAACTATTGAAATATCACGACTATGAGTGAAGTACACGTGCTGGGGGCGTGTTCATGGTCACACTGAGCAGGTGTGCGTGCAGGAATCTAATCCAGCGAAAAATCACCACTGATCCATCCCAAATAACTACTGAGCAGACTCCGACTCCAAAAATGCAACGTGGCAGTTTCCATAAGCTTCATTTTTGTACAGTGGGAGGAACTGGAGCGAAGTCATCCATCTTTTTCTTTAAAACAATCACAGCCGCTGACACAGAAGAATTGCATGCTAAACAGTAAACTACTGTCTTAAGTGGATAAGGTCAGCTAGGGCCCCAGTCACATAGGCCTAGAGACTGGTCAGCTACGCCCTGGCAATCTGCAGTTGCTAGGGAAAAATGTGTATTCCCTGACTGTTTGCGAGTGGAGGTTACTGGATGTCGTTAGGTGAAATTTGTTGCAATTAGCGTGGTAAACTGCACCAGCGTCTGACTCACTGAGGTCTCACTCCTCCATCCTCCTGTGGATGGAAAGGGGCTTAAATTACTTTATAACCTTAGCTAATAAAGTAACCATTATCAAATTTGCATAACACAGCAAATGGACTGGTTCTTATATAGCACTTTTCTATAAGAGCTATATAAGAACGAGTGCTGAAAGCACTTTGCTCTAAGACTGCAGGCTTACTTGCTTCCAGGTCCCTCTACTGTGGAATCAGCACCCAGTTTGGATTCGGGAGAGAGTCACACTCTCTACTTTTAAGATTAGAATTAAAACTTTTCATTTTGATAAAACATATAGTTAGGGCTGAATCAGGTGGCCCCTTAATGCTCGCTTGGTTATGCTGCAATACGTCTAGGCTGCTGAGTGTTTCTGTTTCACTCACTCATTAGTTATTATTAATCTCTGGTACTCTTCCACAGCATGTCTTTGTCCTGTTTTCCTTCCTAACCAGTCGCAGCAGATGGCCCCGCCCCTCCCTGAGTCTGGTTCTGCTGGAG